AGACCAGCCCATTCCACTCCTCCAGGTCTCAACCATGGAACTCAGGGGTGGAGACTTGCAGGAAGGGGGGGAGACTGCACCTTGTGCTCACTGGCCACAGGAAACCAAGCAACTCAGATGGGAGCTGGTGGAATGGGGTGGCTTTGCTTCCAGCCACCACCAGTGAGTGTGGGGAGGGAACGCCTGCTGCCAGTTCCAGGTTCCTGTTAGTCCCCCAACCCATGTTGCTTGAGGGGAGAGACAGGCAGGGAGCAGAGTAGAGGTAAGGGTTTGGGGGGGAGAGCAGACCAGTGAGGAGGGCTTGGAGGAATGGGAGGAGTAGGAGCAGGGTGGGGATGGGAAGAGGCAGGGCCTGTTAGTGACTGTTTCTCAGACCCAGAAGCAGTACCCCACCATCTGCAGATGCTTCATGAATTCCACCACCCATCTGGCATTGTTTTTGCTTTGTCCCACAGCAGTTTGTCCTTTACAAAGTCATTTTGTTCCCTGTTAATTTGGTGTTTCTTACAGCTCTGCAGATACTGGAGAATCATGTGTTCTGTGCATGCAACACCTACCAAAATAATCCAGAGCTGTGCAGGATCCAGGCTTCTATCAGTTGGCGGATAGCAAATAGGGTCATGAGGGCTCTGGGGGACTTTTTTTAATGGTGTGAAAATTATAGAACATAGACGACATTATTGGGATGGAGAAAGTGGCATGCTGGGAAGTTAACCATTTGCATAATTTGTTTCTGCTCCACCATGCATTGCTGAAACTTCCCAAAACAGAGGGTGCTGCTTGCTGGCAAGTTGTATTCTGGGATACCTACTGATAATGCACTTCTAGTGAGTATGCACAATGTCCATGCAAGGAGCCACATTTGCCTGCACACAAGCAATATACCGACTGTGGTGACTATATGCTGACATAACTTGCACTGGCAAAAGTTTGCAGAATTTAGATTCCCTCAGTAACTTGTATTGAGAGGAGACAATGTAGGCTTAGGAAAGCTACAGCTGGAATAAGCTCCTTTTTTTGTACAGAGCTTTAACTGGAAACTCTCCAAAGGAAATGACTCTATTACACATCATCAAAAAGAAAGACCATACACAGTGGGGTCAGCTTTACCGAAGCCATGCTATTACAGTTCTACAGAAGAATTCTCTGGCTCTTATGCTAAAACAAATGAAGGAGGATCTCTCTTAACTGAATATAGTGTACAAGAGCTTTGCTGTCAACTGACACTGTTACAACAGGTAAAAAGACTAGATTCTATTGAGAGTGAGAACAAATCAGTGTGTTTGTGTAATCACACCCCTATTTCCTTCCCTCCCTCACCTGCCTTTGAGGTTTACCACACGTAGGAGGGGAAAAAACCAATTTCTTCCCCATGTTCCTGCCATGTCTGTATTCACTAGTATCAGGAGTTTTGATAATGTAATTCTGTAAATAATGGTTTCCACCAAGTACATTAAGGAAGAGGGATGAAAACAGGAAGAAAAAGTATTCCTTATGATACCTAACATAGTTGGCAAACCTAATAGTTGCTATGATTTAAATTTTTGTCTGTGTAGGAAATGTTCTGTAAATGCCATCCAGTACACTTCCTGAATTCAAGAGCACTTGGCGTCAAAGATAAATGTGCCACTATCCAAAAGTAAGTGTGTTACTTTTCCAGCCTCCTTCTCTGCTGATGCATTGTTGATTTTTGTATTATACCCTATGAATATATGGAAAGAGAAAAATGGGTAGTCTTCCATTATTCCTCTCTGTGAATTTTCTTTTTACATTGAATTTTATCCTTCAGAGAACTTGTAAAATGAGGCTCAGCAGACTACAACATTTTCTTTAGACCACATTGTCATGGTGACTTGAAAAATATCACAATATTTTTAAAAGCTTATTCAGCAAATATTTCTGATCAGTTCTACTCTGAATTTCAAGGATATTATAATTATAGCCATATAAATTAACAAACTGAAATTCTGTATATCATGTAGTACTGGTTGAATAATTCATAAACAAAGTAAGCATAGGACATTTTTAAAGAAAAGTTATTCATATTTTTAGTTGCCCATTTCTAATCCAAAATAAATGTTAACATTATCACCTGTTCACACACAATCTTGTTGTGTTTTAATCCATATGGATTCAACTAGCTTCTGTTAATGTCACAATGTCACTGTGGATTCAACAGTATCTCTAAGAAAAGAGTACACACGTTTGCCCTATATTTTCTGGCTCCTGCTATGTTGTAGCCTAGACAGGGCTCTCTTTTTATAATCTCACTTTTTTTGTCTTTATATTTATAGTCCACAAAACAAGAGCTAGACTGGCTTTTTGGTGTGTGTGTGGTTCTTTGACCACTGTTTCACAATATGATAAATGCTTTTGTTATTGTTAGTCAAATAAAAGAAATTGCTCAAATTGTAAAACTTATGATAATTTTAAGTAGCTTTTTCTGCAAATGTGTGTACAGTGGATGTTGGTACCTGTGCTGTAATTAAAAAGTCTACACAGAGAATAGAGATTAACACAGAGTCCCAGCACATGTCTTTTTAAAGTGTATTAATCAAGGTTGTAGCTAAACAACATATTGTTCATTTTAAAAATGGTTAGAATGCTAACATCCGTTTCATGTTTTGTAGTTGTAATGTCTAAATTATCTATATGTTTTTGTTTCACAGAGTTGTTTCCACTGAATCACTGTCCCTTAAAGTCTGTAACCTCTTTCTGCCAAATTGCATACAAGACAAGTATCTCTTACAGCTTTTAAGGAATGCAGACAATATCAGCACCTGGGTCGCTGCTGAAATTGTTACAAGTCATACTTCCAAGGTTTGTTATTTTTATTTGGCTATTGACTCAGAAAATAGTTGGTTATTTGTTATTGTTTACTATTTCTATAAAACAAACCTACACAAAAAGCCTGAAATATTCCTGCCAGTGCATTGGCAGATCCACTTACACTTTTGAATTTATTCTGATGGTGAGGTTAGACTTAAAGGAATTCTTATCTTCTATTACTATAAGTTAGCAGATGTTTAACTTTTTGCTATTGAAATGGCCTTACCATTGAAGGACTTTCTAACTAACACTTTGGGAGGCAGGGTGCTGCAGTTCTTCTATGGTTTTAGCACAAGCAACAAATCCTAAAACAAAATGTACCTTTTTCTTACACTTGTAATTATATTTTCTCACTTTTCTAAACTAATTGTAGATATTGAATAACATGTTTGGTTTTGAGTTTGACAATAGCATCAGTTAACCCATCAGAAATCCAATGAACAGATGCTGACTTTTAATGTCAACTGAACTAAATACTTTCAAGAAAAAAATAAAGCTTGATGATCATTAAAACATGAACTTGTTGTATGCATTGCTATATACTTTCTGAATATCTTCATCAGAAGTCATTCCACTAATTCAATAATACAGCTTTTTCTGAATTAATCGTGATAAAGTCAACCAACACAAGTGGTCCCGTAACTTGTGATGGGTGTTGATAACAACTGTTATATAAAAACGAGTGGTGATAAGAGTTCAGATATTCTTAGTTCTAAATTCTCCAGTCCTTATGCCAAGCAAAGAGCATTACCACTGGCAGTGTGTGCTTAGGCTACTCCCAGTACTTTCATGGTCATTTCCTTTATGACCCTGATTAAAGATCTGGAACTGAATTTGTGCATGCAGATGAAACCAGTTTAATCCAAATCCAAGTGGCCATCATACATTTTTTCTTAATATTTAAGACCTCTCTGGAGATGATGATTCTCACAAATAGAGACTTAAAATAATATCTACAAGGAAGAGTGTATTGCTCATTTGTTGGTTTTCTGAGGCTAATGATGTCAAGTATCAGAGGGGTAGCCGTGTTAGTCTATAAGGTGCCACAGGACTCCTCGCCACTTTTGCAATTCAGACTAACTGAAGTGTAGGAGCATAAGCTTATGCTCCCACACTTCAGTTAGTCTATAAAGGTATGTCTACACTACAGCACTAATTCGAACTAACTTAGTTCGAATTAACTAATTCGAACTAAGCTAATTTGAATTAGCGCAGCTAGACTTAAAAACTAGTTCGAATTACCGTTTTGCTAATTCGAACTAGCATGTCCACACAGAGTGGACCCTGAACAGAGGTTAAGGATGGCCGGAAGCAGTGCCGGCAGGGCATCAGATGAGGACTTAGAGCGTGGAGCTGCTGTCTCAGGCTAGCCGAGGGCTGTGCTTAAAGGGACCCGACCCCCACCCCAGACAGACAGTTCTCAGGGGTGCCC